CCAGTTCCCAGCCTGCACGAGCTTGGGAGGACTCGGTGGGCTGCCCAGCAGTTGATCGACCAATGTGGCCATAGGGTCTTGGGATTTCTTTGACTGTTGTAGTGTTTTGGTCGTTTTCGAATGATGATCAAACCAATTATAGAGGGACTATGAAGCAGATCAGTCTGATTCTCTGAATCACAATTTTAAGCACTTACCTCCTCATATGCTCAATAACTTTGCCTTTCAGAGCGCTGTCAGCTGGTGATAGGATTTTGAAGCCATCAGATGTTGTAGGAAATAGAGGGAAAGGAGGGGTGGTTTCATTGTCTTTACCGCATTTGGGTATGGGAACAGACCAGTGGAAAGTTTTAAACCATTGATTGACAATGTTGTCAAGCACAGAGTTAGCCCCCTCATTCGACATGAGGACACCAGCCTTATAATCATTGAGACGAGCCTTGAGAAACTTTGTGCAAACCCCTTTGGTCCAGCCTTTCTTCAGGGTTACGAGCAAGGGCTGTCCGTTGACCCTTGATTTCCAAAAACATGACATCAGTTTATTGACAAATCTACTGATGATCAATGATCACTTACGGCCCACTTTCCTGAGTCTCCTCCACCATCGTCGTCTCCGATACATCTGGTTCAGACATGCAGAAAAAAGGTGGGTATGCAAAAAAGCGGGTATGTATGTATCTACACTTTTTTGTGTATACACTCATTAAGGTTCTTTCACCTGTGGGAACAAAGCAAAGAAGCTTCCATCCACTTCACTTAAAGTCCAGATTCATGGCTGCACCCTCTCTTACCCAAACCCCTCACTTTCCGAGGACTTTACACTCCTCCACATATTCCAGTTGGACTCCAGATGGACTCTGGCAGACTCCAGATGGATTTCTGGAGTCCATCCATAATATTTTCTTTAGTGGTAACTGGCCAAATAGTCTAGAATACCCCTGGAGTCCACCTGGAGTCCAGCTGCTCTCCATGTGGACCCATCTGGACAGGATGAACTCCACCTCAGAACAACTGTTGATTAATAAATTAACCAGCCTGACTCCACATGGAGTCCAGCTAGATATCAATTGCATTACAATTGTTGCTATTATATAATATAATAATAAAAAGCACAACAGCAAGAATTGAACACTCAACCTCAGGAACAGAGACACAATAATACATATGAATGCTCAAACAGTTAGACCAATACTTTACAGTGCCCCTCCCATTCCTGCAGGAATCCACAGTAATCCACAGGAATGGAACCTGATTCTGAAGGATTCCACAGGAATGGGACCAGAATCCGCAGGAATTCCACTGGAATAGGACTGGAATGAAGCAGAGTAAGGTTGAAAAACCATGTAAATTTACCCCCAGATTCTGATCAGCTTTTCATCATGTGACTACATCTGTATTTATTCAACTCCAACCTTATCCTGATAACTTAGTACTCAAAATCCCTTATGGAACCCATATCTCAAGCAATAGATTCATAGGTCAAATTATAATGTATTTAATAAGGACATAAAATGTATTTTACTACATACAATATATATTAAAGCAGGGGGGAGGGACAAGGAAAGGCAGTAGGGACAAGGGGGGTAGGGGCAATGAAGAGGCAAGGGACATGGCAATGGAGAAGCAAAGGGGTGGGGACAAGAAAAGGGGGTAGAGGCACAGAGGGAGTGATGGGGAGAGTGTGTGGTAGAGGGAGGGGGGAAGAGTGGTGAGGAGAGAGTGTGGTGGAAGGGGGGACTGATGGAGTGGGGAGAATGTGGTGGGGAGTGAGATTGTCAATGTCACATGTTGTTGTTGTTGTTGCCTGTCACCGTCACATTGTTGATGTCGAGTGTTGTTGTTGTAGTGTTGTTGTTGTTGTGTGTTGTCATCCTCATGTGTCGTTGTTGCATGTAATTGTTGCGTTGTCATCATCATGTGTTGTACATGGGTGCTGGGCGTTGTTTGCTGTCTGCTGGGTGT